AATTTCGTTCACCTATAAACAAGTGAGCAGTATACATAATCAGACTCCATTTTCTGTTTAGATAAACACCCTCCACGAGGTAATTAAACCATATATATGCTCTCCCACAATACATATATGTTCTCACCCTTGGAAACCATGTGCTCCCCCCCTAAATCTTGTATATACATATAGGGAGTCAAACTAACATGCATAAGAAGTATTACGTGAGGAGGAGTTGGACTTACCTGCATTAATAAGTTCAAGGGTCCTGGATTTGAAATGAAGAAACTGCATGATCTGAATGTTCAAAGAAAATGGAACATATTTTGGGAGGGTAGAGGATCCTACAAGTGCAAAATTTGCACCATTTTTGAACTTGGAATCTGTCAGTGAGTCCGGGTATCGGCTCAGCAGACTTGTATTCAAACTCTGGCCTGAACAAATCCATCAAGCTATTTAAACCTTCCTTACAAATCCCATATAACACTTTAGTGTGGATATGCATACATATATCTATATATATATATATATGTATATGTGTGTGTAGTTGCATTTACCCACATAAAATAATAAACTAAATCATGGATTGTGTAGATCCTGCGTTTAATTTATACTTTATCTTATTTAAATGGAGATTAATCATTTATTTATTTAAAAAAAGAATTCTATACATTTTTAAATGAATTCAGATATTAAATATTAAAGTATATTATTATAGAAAATAAAATATTAATCACTATTTAAGATTAACACAGAATATTTGATTCATACTATTAAAATCTATAAATATATTATGAATTGATAATATTTGATTTATAATATTTAATTTAATAAAATTAATAATTTAATTCACTAATATATTTATGATGATACAATAATCAAATTTTATTAAATTTTAATAAATTTATTAAATTTTTAAACTAAAAAATAAATTTCATAATGAATTAAATTCTCTTAATAACAATGAATTAAAACTATATAATGAATAAATTAACCCGCTGCTTAATAATAATAATAATAATTGAGATACAAATCACTGATGGCACGTGGGCCCATCGAGCAAAGTGGGTCCCATCATTAATCTGATCAAAATCACCGACGCTTTCGTTTCCACAAACGCAGGTTTATCAAATTCAAATCTATAATTTACAAGCGCATCACTGCCGTTGGATTTGCAGACTTTGAACCCAAATATAAAGAGAACAGGCACGTAACCGCATATTCCCATCAGTAGATCCAATTGGTTTGACTAGTGAAACAAAGGAGAGTTAATCAAGGGAAGGCAGCGACTTACAGAGGATATCGATCAAGAGCCGCCCATCAGACAACCTGCCAGTTGATCTGCGGGAGAAGGTACGGCCATTGGGGAGAGTAACGGGAAAGCCGAGTCCGGCGACGAGTCCACCCGTGTCCGAGTTGGAATCGCCAAAGATGAAAATCACAGGTGGGTTCCTGCACCGAGCAGCAGCAACTGAGTAGGCCAAAAAGCTAAAGATTAAGAAGATTTGTGATAGGAAGGAAGAGTGAGTGGCCATAGTCGAGAGTGTGAGGAGGTTGGTTACTATATATCATAATAACCCCAAGTACAAGGTTGGAAGGTCTGCCATTTCAAGATGGCTACGAAATCCAAAACGGCCCCAACGCTAACTGTATAACCCCGGCAA